ATAATCGCGTAAGGTTCTATTTTCTCTTCTTAATTGCTTGATGCGCGGAAAGAATATCTGCGCGCGAGATCTAGAAATCTTGATAACGGAAGCATGAATCGATGGCGTCGCATCAATGATAGGAGTGAAGCCCCGCGTATCTTGATTCATGAAATCTTGCAGAACATTCAATTTATTATAATATACGATAAGTTTATTACTTTTAGGAAGATGCTGGAAGAAAACGTAATGTTTTGTTACAGCCGGTTACAGATGTGTATCTTGTATCTTTATAAAAAAAAAATAGATAGGTCATAATAGATTCTTATAACTCTCATAATTCTTAAAGTAGAATAATGTGTAAGAGATTATATTCTTTGGTATTACATTATGTTAAGTTTACTTAGTAACGTATTGATAAATAATTTCGCATTTTTATTTACTGAAAACTGACTTTTCTGACGCGTTGAATCTTTTAAAAAGATATTCCTGATTATATTTTGTTAGAGAACAAAGTTTGAAGATAGTAATTATGTGATATGCATTCGTGCATATACGTATATTTTACATAAAATTTATATTTATTTATATTTATATGTAGTATATATTATCTAAAAGCAAAAACGTAAATTAAACCATTCAAAATTTCGTATGAATTACGATGAATGATAGAAACTATGATAAAATGTAGATAAGACGGCCTATATTTCACGCCGTGTGTATAAAAGTGCATTGTTTACCGATTCTAGTCTCACACAATCATCAAAATCAAACGATTTAACTTCGGCTTACATTTGTTAAATAAAATTTGTAATTTGACGATTCTGTTGAACGTAATTGATAAATGAGGTGCCGGAAATGTGAGTACAGACTTGTAAAATTAAATAGGCGACGCCATCGAACACTTCGCAAAATTTTGCGAAACGAGACGAGAAGAGATCGTCGGATTTTTCTGCATACGCGCGCACATATTCTTCCCCGATTCGAGCATACAACTCTGTTTTTTTTCCGCGTCCGTCTTATACTTTCGTTCGTAAGTTTACATTTTATACCGAGTATCGCTGTATTGAGCATTAAATCCCGAAACTCTGGTCTGCTTTAATGAACAATGATAGAGATATATTATCGCGAGAGGGAGAGAAGAGGAGAGAGAGAGAGTGAGAATGTGTGTGTCGGCGTTACGCGAGCAGTTTCTCTCGAAAGTGGGCGTGAGCGAAATTTCGAAAAACTATGAATACAAATGAGACGCAGGGATATAAATTTAAATAATGTACACGCGAACTACGGTTCTAAGAGAGTCGGACACTTTCGAGACAAACCATTCGTACGTACAATGCGTACATTTTGTATTTGCGAAAATATAAAAAACGACACGAGTTGACGATGATAATGGCAATTAAGGTGAGCCACGGAACAGAGAATAGCGTCATCGAACGACGCTATGATTGTTACAATGTGGCCGGGAATGACACTTGCATGAAATAAGGTCGCGTCTTTCGTCGATACAAAATGTACACTCGTGTGAGATTGCAAGGAATAGACAACGGTATTGATTCCGTTGCCTAGAGCGAACGCGCGCGCGAGAGAGAGAGAGAAAGAGAAAGAAAGAGAGAGAAAGAGAGAGAGAGAAAGGGATGAAAACCTGCGAGTTTATTAGAAGACGTTAATAATAATTGTAAAAATATCGAGAGCCGTGATCTCTGTGATGATGACAACGTTAAGGATGACAATGATTTGACGACGATGATTTTCCCCCCTCCGTGTCTCCCTGGCAGTTTTTGCCAGGGACACGACGAGATGCAATTAGCCGAGGTTGAGGTTTTTAGAGTAAAACATAAGACATAGAGCCGTAATCTATTACGTAGCAATGTAACAGAAAGACAAAAAGTTAATATTTAAGGTCCGACTGGAGCGTTAATAGACATCATATGTATTATATCGCGATTAAGGATTTAACCGTTTACACGAGGAGGGAGCATCGATCGATCGATCGACGATATAGTAATATAGTCGAACGATATACAGTTAAATGTAAATAAGCGAAATGAATACGCGTTGGAGGGGGGGTGGGGACAAACGCCCCCGCAGAAACGGACAGAGAGAAAGAGAGAGAGAGAGAGAGAATTATTTTGCTACGCGAAAGGGAGGAAAGACTTCCGGAAGAATGCGAGAATGTTTCTCGCATTTGGGCGACCCGATCTGGACGATTCAGATCCGAATGACACCACCGCGGCAGCCGATTGCAGAGATTCCGCTTCCAATGTCGCGAAAATGCAAGAACTCTGGAACAACGCGAAGATAGAAGAGGATAGGGAAGAGAGAAGACGAAGAGGAAGAAAAGAAGGTGGCGAAGGAAGATTTGTCGTTGCGCGCAAAAAACGAAACCCCATCGTCTGTGTTCATTTGATGAAGATCTCATTTCTGATCACCGGACGACGAAGAAGATCACCTCACTTTTGCAATACAAAAGAATTGTCTTCAGCGAAGAACATGAATTATCTTTAAGAGAAACATTCCAACTAATTATCTCTAAACAGTCAGCAAAAAACAACAAAAAAAAACTGAGAAACTCTTTACTTGTTCTCGAGGCGGAGCAATTTGAGGAAAGGACACGGGATGCCGTCGTCGTAATTGCGCGAGGAACGAAGGACACGCGGATGATCAGCGGCCACCTTTCGACGCGCATCCCGTTGTTTTCGCCGCGAAACAATCGTCTCGTGTTTGCGCGTCACGATAGGATTTCGAAGACGAATGAATCAGCGAGAGAGAGAGAGAGGAGGGGG